CATTTAACAGGAGCTGCCTTATCACAGAATGTACACCATAAAGCTAATGTCTGTTGAACACCTGATGATTGTATTTGACACAATATTTATCAGGCGGTTAAGGGATCGAGCATTGACAGCACCATAAAAAGCTTCATGAATCCTCAACAGTACTTTCTGAACTAAGCTGAGTAATCCGGTTACCTACACCTAGGTGTATCGTCATCCGGACAGACTTTAGTAAGGCATCTACTTTGCCATTGAACGGCGACACATAAATATGTCCAAACAAACACTAAATAGACTTCTGAGATTTGTCTGTTCAGTTTGCTAATCTCTCTGCCCCACATGCTGTTGCACTTTCCTATATTTTTTTCCTACACTAGTTGGTTCTTTGATTATCCGCAAACCAGTGTCTACGGAATTTAATTCGTTAAAGTTGCCAAACCACCGGCAATCGTATTGTGCAAGTTCGGAGGGGATAGCGTGAGCTCCACATAGCCTCAACATTACTTCATTTTAAGGACAGCGTAATAATCACGCAACACGTAATCACAGACATTCATCTGCGTAAGTTGGGGTCGGTTTGGTCCTCTGGAGAGAAAATGGGAGCGTTCCGACTGAGTGTACAAAGAGGACCCTACTGTCGTGCAGTTCAATCACTTGGTTTCAGCTGATATTGCATGCAAACGTACTGCGTCGAGTTTCATGAGCCAGACTCGTCTGGATTTAGTTCAGTAGACCCCGTAGTCAGTCATGGTGAACCGTGAAGTATCATATTTAACTGTTAGCCCGCCTAGTTAAATTGGCTTCTAGAGAACCGTCTGACTGTGGTTTTCTTGAATCCCGCAACAGGTAAACCATTAAGTGAATAATGAAAATTTTTGCCTGTTACAGAGTCGTAGGGTATTCCCCATGGCCTATTGCCAACTTGGTTGCACTATGGCTGGTATCTAGAAATTGCATTTTTTGCCGCCCTATTGAACACACTTCTATGCTTTTACCCCAATTACACTCCTAAGGTTTTCACCGGCAACATTCCAATTGGGCCATGAAACAACTTAGCCTAACTCGCCCTAACAAAACTGTCACAAGCAAGAACAGTTCCATAAAGCACACAATAATCAGTGTTAGTTTGTCTGCTAACATCCTTGTCAAGGAAAGTTGAGTTAAAATAAGCAGCTGCATAATTGTTTCACACCGGATGATCTCCGCAATTCGATCGAGCCATTCCGGTAAATCATGTGGTATGTTCTATTGCGTATTGTGAGTAAGTAAGCCACCGTACACAATACGTGACCTATTGAACCTTGGAGTTATATACGACAACGATAAGCCATAATCCAAGTGCTGACACGTTTTACTGTTGTGACAACGACCTCACACTGACTTATTTCCAAGCTGAATGTGACAGTGGACGCAACCACTGAGAACTGACATGTCGGCTTATGGCTCACAAAAATATCAGACATTGGTAATGGAAGCTTCCATGCGTGTGGCATGCCATTGAGGCTTCCAAATATAGGCTGCACGGTTAGGAACAGCCGGTACCATCTCGTGCATAAACTCCGAAGCCTTGTCGTCTCGTACAAATGGCTACAATAGTAAGATGATAGACTTGATTACGCATTGAAAAGCTCTCTTCTGTACTATTACAAAAACAAGTTATCCAAGGAGAGAAAAAGATATTTGTTACAACAATTTTCAAACATCTGGTTGGTTTTCTCGTGTGAGTACTTCAGTAAAACAGCAGTGAATGGGCCGTATCCTCGGCGCAATGAAAAGACATCCGAAATCCCACCATGTACCCCATCGCATTATGTGGAGTAAAGTGCAAAAGGCAAGGATTTTAGAGTGTTCATAGCT